GAAACACTAGCATGTTTCCTTTGAGACAAGAGGAGCTGGAAAGACTGACATTTCCCTTTGAAATAGCAGCTAAGACAATGTCCCTGCAGGCACAGGGTCATGAAGTGTAAGGAGGGAAAGCTTTCAGAGACACAGTTTAGTAAGTTCAGTACTAAGAAGTGGAGCGTAATTGGCAAAAGCAATTATGGCACAAAAAAAACATAAAAAAATTTAGGTAGGAAGGACCTCTGATGTCTGTAGTCCAGTCTCCTGCTCTAACAGGGATAACTCCAAAACTAGACAAAGTTGCTCAAGGCCTTATTCAGTTGAGTTTTTGGACATCTGGATGGAGGTCCCAGAGCCTCTTTGAGGATCTGTTCCCTTGTTGCACCAGTGTCATAAAGAAGTTTTGCTCCCTGTATAAAGTCAGGATTTACCTTATTGCCACTTGCATCTGTGGTCATTGCAGACATCTAAGAAGACTGGATCTGTTTTATCTACTCTCTCCTTTCTACTGAATGGCCACTTTGCCTTTTTTAACCCATATTAAACAAATCCATCTCCCTCCTACCTGCTAAAGAGAGAATTAGATTACATATAGAAAGGGTCTAGGTTGAGGAATTGTTTTATTCTTCCAGAACTGAGGGTGGAGGGAAGTAGGATATCACAGTAGAGAAATTTACTCTAGCTATTCCATGAGGTTAGAAATGAGGCCAATCATGTTTTGCAATCTGGTTCAGGTTTTCCCCATAAATTATTAGCTTTCCCTGTGATGCTTCTAATTATAAAGCACACACACTATATACGTGGATAGACAGACAGACAGACAGACAGATATACACACAGTGTGTGTGTGTGTGTGTGTGTGTGTGTGTGTATATGTATACATTGTATGATGAGCTGACTTTCCAGTAGGCATTGAATGGAATCTGCTATGCCTGCTGTGAGTAGTAAAAAACGTGGGAGATTAAATTCAGTTGCACTAGAATAAAACAATAGGAATCCAGGTCCAATGTATTTTTGTGTACGCTTACTTTTTTCTCTGTCTAGCCATTCATTTGAAGACGATGATGTTTTCAATAACTCAAAGAGAAGGAATTCTGCTGGACTGAATGGAATTCACTCTGTAGAGCCTGATGCTGGAGCCACTGGGGGAAAGTCCAAAGCATCACAGCTCCAAAGAATAATTTCAATCGAGGAAGATCACCTACCCCAGCTTCTTGACAGCTCAGTTGATAAGGAACTGAACAGATGGACTGGAGAAGATGAGAACACTTCTTCTGAGATGGAAATGGATAAGAAAAACACAGAACGATCAATGGAACACTCACCATTGTCTTCTAGAGAGCAGCCTGTAGGGAAGGAAACACACTCAAATGTAAGGGGGCAAAAGAGACCACACCTTGAGGATTATGTGCAGTTCTGGTCCCCACAGTTTAAGACGGATGTGAAGGTCCTTGAATGCATCCAGAGGAGGGCAGCAAAGCTGGTGGAAGGGCTGGAAGGCATGTCCTGTGAGGAGTGGCTAAGGACTCTGGATTTGTCTGATTTAGAGAAAAGGAGGCTGAGGGGCAACCTTGTTGCTCTACAGTTTCCTAAGAAGGGGAATTGGAGAGGGAGTGGAGAGGGAGGTTCTGGTCTCCTCTCTGGTGTCCAGTGATAGGATGTATGAGAATGGTTCAAAGCTGTGCCAGGGGAGGTACAAACTTGATGGTAAGAAACATTTCATTACTGCGAGGGCTGTCAGACAATGGAATGGGCTTCCTAGAGAGGGAGTCAGTGCCCCATTCCTGTCAGTGTTTAAGGGACATTTGGACAATGCCCTTAATAATATGCTTTAACTTTTGGTCAGCCCTGAGTTGGTCAGGCAGTTGGACTAAGGTCATTGTAGGTCCCTTCCAACTGGAACTATTCCTATTCCTATTCCTATTCCTATTCCTATTCCTATTCCTATTCCTATTCTACTCTACTCTACTCTACCTTGGAATACATGACATGGTGTTGAAGGATAATATGTTGTTCTTAAAATCTAAAATTATTTAGTTCTCTCTTTTTATGTTAAAGCATGACAAATTAAGCTATTGCATGAAGAGGGAGATGGAAATATACTGCAGATAAACGTCGTAGATGCAAGAAGGGAAACCCAACCTAAAGGAGTGCTAGCTGCAGACAGTGAGTGTATAAACTTTTGTCTGAAGGACTGTTTAGGAAAAGTGAAATTAAGCCTTGAAATAGATGACACAAGAAGATCCATTGAAAGGTAGCAATTGTCTAAAAAAAAAAGTAGCAACCCTTTTTTTGAAAAGTTGGTGGATTTTTATGTCTAAAAGTGACATTTCTCATATTCTGATACTTTTGAGTCAGCTTTGATAGCTGTTACACTATCTGAGAAATATGAGAGCAAATACGTTTATAAGTATTTTTGAGAAGACTTTTAATTTGCAAATTGAAACCCTGATATTTTTTTTCAGCTCTAGCTTGTATATGCATTTTAACAATTAATTCGCCATGCAGGAATAATCCTTACAACAATATGGAGGAAGGTACATTTCTTTGGAGTCTAAAATCCTTCTTGCGCTGCTATTGCTTCAAAGCTAGCTGTGCTTGTTTTCTAATTTTAGTGTCATTGTTAATCACAGAATCACAGAATCACAGAAC